TAAAGAGATCTCTATACCATGGCTTGTACAAAGCAGATTACCCACAGATCAACCAGTGGTAGAGCACTGAGGAAGCAACTGGCTGTGAAAGCCACTTGCAAGAGTGCGTCCTGTACCAGAGGGGTGAAGAAACCTCATTGTTACAAGCCTGGTACTATGACATTGTGTGAAATTAGATGTTATCAGAAGTCCACTGAACTTCTGGTTCACAAACTTCTCTTCCAGCACCTGGTGCAAGAAATTGCTCAGGACTTCAAAACAGACATGCGCTTCCAAAGTGCAGCTATTGGTACTTTGTAGGAGGCAAGTGTTTGGCCTTTTTGAAGACACCAACCTGTGTGCTGTACATGCCAAATGTGTAACAATTATGCCAAAAGACATCCAGCTACCACACTGCATACATGGAGAACATGCCTAAGAATGTACTATGATGGGAAACATTTCATACTTTAAAAAAATTCTCGGACTTCCGGCAAGATGGAGGCATAGGTGGACACACTGTACCTCCACGCACAACCAAGATTAGAACAACAATTTAGAAGCAGAATAACACCCAAAACTGACAGAGAATTTATCTGAATGGAAGTCAAACAGCCAAGAAGTTGAAGAAGACCCGTTCATCCAGACTGGTAGGAGGGGCGGAGAGGAGCAGCTGGGCACGGGTAGTGGCATGCGGAGAACACGGTGAATTGGGCACATAAGGCAACCAGGAGCAAACAAAGCATCTGGGGCGCACAAGATCTTAGTGGGTGGACCCTGAGTACGTAAGCGGCAGCAATTGTGGACCAGGGCAGAGCGCACAACCCAGGATCCCAGAGAAGGGACTGAGGTCCCAGGAGAACGGAGCTACCACCATTGTTCCCTCCCACCCCCACATACAACATCACAATCTAGTGACTGGGGTGCCCAGCCCTGGTGAACACCTAAGGCTCTGCCCCTCACTGTAACAGAAGCGACAGAGACCCAAAAAAAAAAAAAAAAGATAGAGACATGTCGCAAACAGAAGAACAGATCAATGCCCCAGGACTCATCCTTTTGAGTGACCAAGAGATAGACAACCTATTAGAATACACAGTTCAAAACACTGGTGATCAGGAAGCTCACAGAATTGGTTGATTTTGGGCACAAATTAGATGAGAAAATGCAGGTTACCATAAAAGAGATGAAGGAAGATGCATGGAGAACCAATAGTGATGGGAAGGAAACTGGGGCTCAATACAATAGAGTGGACCAGAAGGAAGAAAAAAAAACAACCATCAGGAAAGAATGGAGAAATAAGAATTCAAAAAAAACGAGGAGAAGCTTAGGAACCTCCAGGACATCTTTAAACGTTCCAACATCCGAATTATAGGGGTACTAGAAGGGGAAGAGGAAAAGCAACAGATTGAACACGTATTTGAACAAATAATAAAGGAGAACTTCCCCATTCTGGCAAAGGAAATAGACTTCCAGGAAATCAAGGAAGCTCGGAGAGCCCCAAAGAAGTTGGACCCAAGAAGAAACACACCAAGGCACATCATTAACTACATTAGCCAAGGTAAAAACAAAGGAGAGAATCCTAGAAGCAGCAAGAGATAAGGGGACAGTCACCTACAATGGAGTTCCCATCAGACTGTCAGCTGATTTCTCAAAAGAGACCTTACAGGCAAGAAGGGGCTGGAAAGAAGTATTCCAAGTCATGAAAGACAAGGACCTATATCCTAGATTACTCTATCCAGCAGAGTTTTCATTTAGAATGGAAGGGCAGATAAAGTGCTTCTCAGATAAGATCAAGTTAAAGGAGTTCATCATCACCAAGCCCTTATTTTATGAAATGTTAAAGGGATGTATCTAAGAAAAGAAGATAAAAAAAAACATGTATAGTAAAAGGACAGCAAACTTACAATTATTAACAACCACACCTAAAGCAAAACCAAAAGAAACTAAGCAAACAACTAGAACAGGAACAGAACCACAGAAAGGGAGATCACATGAAGGGTTAGCAACAGGGGAGTGGGGGGAGGAGAGAGGGGGAAAAGGTACAGAGAATAAGTAGCATAGATTATAGGCTGAAAATAGATAGGGGGAGGGTTAGAATAGTATGGGAAATGTAGAAGCTAAAGAACTTATAAGTATGACACATGGACATGACTAAAGGGAGCCATATGGGTGGGAGAGGGTGTACAGGGTGGAGGGGAGTGAAGGGGGGAAAATGGGACAACTGTAATAGCATAATCAATAAAATATATTAAAACAATTCTCTTCTTCCTGTTACTAGTAGTTTTGAACATTAGATATTTTTTCCCCCATGGGGTCAAAAGGTACCCCCTGATTGCGAGTAGAAAACAGGGGACAGAAATCAGGTAATGGCACTTTTCCCATTTTTGTGTGTGAATTTTTTTTAATATAAATGTGGGAAAATAAAGCATTAATGCAAGTCAAAGTGTTTCAGTGAACATGTTTCAAGCAGTTCAACTTTATAATATAAATAAATTTTTCTGGACAAGGCCAATATTTGGATTTTTTTAAACAAGTAAATTTCTTACTGATGGCAACTAAATGGTATTTGTAGCATTTTCATCATATAGTAGATTCCATCCATTCACTATACTTTTCTGACTAAGTTGTCCTACGTGCAAGTGTTTTTAATGTCTGTCTTCTGTGTTGTTCCTATAAGTTTGCTATTAAATTACATTAAACTATTAAAAAAAAAAAGGATGTCAGCCTTCCCAAATTGGTCTGTATATATTTAATGCAATCCCAGTCAACATTCTAGCAAGAAATGACAAATAGACCAGTGGAACAAAAAAAGACCCCAGAGAAAGAACCTCACATAACAAAGGAGACTTGGTAAAAGTAATGGGGGGAAAAATCTTTTCAAAAATAGTGTTCTGTCATTTGGTTATTCATATTTGAAGGAAAGGAAAAAGATTAATGTTCATCTCTACCTCACTGCAAACACAAAGTTCAATTTCATATAGACTATAGGCCTATGTGTGAAAGCTAAAATAATTCCTCTTACAAAGGATAAAGAGAATTATGTTTTTAACTTTGAGTGAAGCAAAAAAATTATACACAAAATACAAAATACTATAGCCATAAAGAAGAAGGTTGATCAATTAGACCATGTAAAACTACAAATTTTGGTTCATCAAAAACAACATTCTAGAAGAAAGCAAGCACAGAGCGGCAAAAAATGTGAGGAATAAAAATAACCAACAACAAACTAACATCCAGAACATATTAAGAATTCCTAGAAATTGCCCTGGCATAGCTCAGTGGATTGAGCGTGGGCTGGGAACCAAAGCATCACAGGTTCGATTCCCAGTCAGGGCACATGCCTGGGTTGCAGGCCACGGCCCCCAGCAACTGCACATTGATGTTTCTCTCTCTCTTTCTTTCTCCCTCCCTTCCCTCTCTAAAAATAAGTAAATAAAATCTAAAAAAAAAAAAAGAAAGAAAGAAAAGAAAAGAAATATTTTTAAAAGTATTTATATATATAAAAAAGAATTCCTACAAATCAATAATACAAAAGTCAAAACAACCCAATGAAAATATGGGCAAATGATTTCAACAGGCATTTCACAAAAAAGAATATCCAGTGACCAATAAGCATATAAAGATGGACAAATCAGTACTATCAGGGGAAAGGCAAATTATAAACAATGAATACCAGGACTATAATTAGGAAAACTGACAAATACCAGTTTAGTAAGAGTATAAAAGGGTTGAATCATTATGGGAAACTGTTTGATGTATTTATGTTAAATATAACATCTACACCAGCAATTTTCAACTTGTATGCTATAAGAATTTTTAAAACATGCAACACCTGACTATTTAGTCAGAGAAACTGTCCTCTTTTCCCTTAGGTTGTCAAATAAAAAAATGACAACAGCCAACACAATAGCCATCCGATGTGAATGTCCTGTCTTGAACCATAAATATATATATAGGTCATATAACAGAGCTACATCTTACTGGACACATCACCTAATAAGGTTGCATGTGACTGGTTAATTCTTAGGACCAAAAATCTTTATATAAAGTATAGGCACATAATTTTTTTAAAAAGTTACTTTAGACCAAAAAGGGTAGATAATTACTATTACTAGTATTATTGTTATTTTGTAAATCAATCAGAATTATATCTTCTGGGGGGCACATTGGCAAAAACTATATTTTTTGGTGTGCCAAAGAATTTTAGTGATTAGTTTATGTTTGCCATGAGATGAAAAAGGTTTAAAATCACTGCCTTAAGTAGCTTAGAAATGTTCAAATTTTAGGACTTGTGTTCTTTATTCTTACTTGATTGACAGTCAAATCATCATGCTCCATAACCTCAATGATTTAGATTTTCATACTCACCAGTATATAATTTAGGAACTCAGTAATAAAATTATGGTATAGCTCCTGTGATGGTTAATTTTATAGGTCAATTTGGCTAGGCTACAATGCCCAGTTGTTTGATCAAACAGCAGACTAAATGTTGCTGTGAAGGCATTTTTTAGAGGTGATTAACATTTAAATCAGTAGTCTCAGAGGGACAGTAGATTGCCCTCAAGATGGGGGTGGGCCTTGTCCAATTAATTGAAGGCCACAGAGTGAAGACTTTGGTTTCTCAATAAAGGCATTCTCAAGACTACTTACCTGAGTTCCTGGTATGCTGTCCTACAGAATTCAAAGTCAAGGCTACAACACCAGCTCTTACTTGAATTTCCAGCCAGCCAGCCTGTCCTACAAATTTCAGACTTGTCGGCCCCCATAATTACACGACTCAATTCCTTCCTCTGTGTGTGTGTCTGTGTGTGTGCACTCCACCAGTTTAGTTTCTATGGAGAACCCTGACTAATATAACCCCTAACTCAACAAAAAATTTGGTAGTACCTATAGTGTTCATTAAGGAATATTAAGATGAAAAAGTAAGTAAAGGTAAAATCTGTGTCTGTGAAAAGCTGCCACATCGATAGGAAACAAGTCTACATGTACTAATAAACAAATATATTTAAAATTATTCTCACCTTTATTACAAGAAAAACATCTTGGGAAGGATAAGTGATAGAGAAAATAGCCGATCTTGCCAGGGTGGTAATGGCAGCAGGTGGCACATGTGGACGTAACAATCCTTTCATCTGCTCAGAATTAAGGTCAAAATAAAAGTTTTCTGAAATCTAAAAAATACAATCATATATTATATTTTTTAATCTGTACATTTAGAAAAACTCACAGAAGTCATACATACCTAATCTTAAGTTATTAGAGATTTTAAAACACATACTATAACATTGTCATATATTTCACTGACCAATTTTTACATGTCTAAATCAAAGCAAAAAAAATGTACAAACTATTTGGGAAATATAATATAATAAACACAGTCTAAAGAAGCATATCTCAAACTCTTTTGATTAGAAATGTAACCTCTAATCATACCAAAAAATTATTATTGAGATGAATTACCCCAAGATTTCTTTTAAAAATTACATGAATAATATTTCAGCAGTTCTGTTTTTGTTTTTTATTTAATCTTTATTGTATCTTTTTCCATAACCATTTAGTCCCTTTACACCCGCCTTCACCCAGCAGTCACCACACTGCTGTCCATGCAGCAAACATAGCAGAGTTCCACTGCAGGAAACCATATTTTGACAGCAGATGTCACTGAAACCAAGTCAAGTTTCTGCTACGCCTTAGGGTTAGAATGTTAAGAAATGTGGTGATGAGACAGCCTTCTGTAAACTCTGATGATAAAACTAAGGGCAGGATTTAAGACAGAATATTTAAAATATACATAAATGATCTGTTGCCTAGTGAGAAACTGAAAATTATGTCAACAAAAACTCACTGTCATTGTCATTCTTATTTTTTATAGATTGCCTAAAATACATTTCTTGTAGTATCTTTTCCAGTTCTTAAATTAAAAGAAAGTTGCTTCTGCTACATGCTTTTAGAACTCATTCAATGAAATAAAAACTAGGTATCAATTAAATTATTTCACAGGAAGAAAATATTTCACAAGTCTTAAATTAAATTACCATTTTCCTTTTTAAAAGATCCATGTTTAGTAATTCTCATAAAAATTGTAATTTTATAAAAAAACTTAAGAAACAAGCCAGTCAGAGAAAGACAAATAACATATGATCTCATTCATATGTGGAATCTAATGAACAAAATAAACTCACAAAGTAAAACCAGAGGCATGGATACATGGAACAGAGGGAAGTGGGGTAGGAGGGACTGGAAGAAATTAGCCTAAGAACATATGAGGTCTGTCCAGAATGTATCCAGCCATATAATATGAAAAATAAAGGCTTTTCCTGAAGAAGACACAAGATACCAGAAAAACTGTACATAGTACAATGCCAGCTCAGTTCCCTTCAAAGTAGGCACCTTGGGACCTCATATAGTTCTCCCAATCGCCATCAGCTGCTCAGTTGTATTTTCCTGAGTCTCACTGACAGTCTGAAATCTCTTCCCTTTCTAAGATGACTTTAGTTTTGGGAAAAGTCAGAAGTTGCAGGGTGCCAAACCTGGGCTGTAGGGGAGGGGCGGAGTCACATGAGCGATTTGATGTTTCACCAAAAACAGCCCCTGCAAGAGACATGCTGTGTGAGCGGGCACGCTGTCGTGATAAAGTGTCAATCACCAGTTGCCCATAGCTACGACTTTGTGAATCATCCGAATAGTTTCCACAGAGGAACATTCAAGCTTATCCCAAAGTCTGATGCAGACTCGTTGATCTGCTTGCCCAGTCATTTTGAATGTGAGGGCCACACAGTACACATGCTTATTCAACAGCATCTACCATCCCCACTGACTAGTACAATGAAGTCATCATTGTTCACACAAGTGCATTCCAGTCCACTTTCCTTGGCTGCCAGCTTACAACAATGTCATGCAAACTTTTAGTTATATTAGCAATGGCTCAATTTTTTTCTAGACAGACCTCGTGTATGCATATATACATAGCCCACAGACACAGACAGCAATGTAGTTAAGGCACAGTAGGGGAGGCAGGGACTGGATGGAGGGAGGCAAAGAGGGAAAATAGTGGATATTTGTAATAGTGTGAACAATAAAAAAATAAAATAAAAAATTTAAAATCAGGTTTCTGAAACCTACGATTCTGACAAAAGATTAAGTTTAAATCATATAATCTTACCTTTTTCTTTTCCTTGACATCGTATAAAGCCAAACTTGCAAAAATGGGTTCAATTTCAATCTCAAACCTTTAGTAAGAAAAAGAATGAAGCAGTTTTAAAATAAATATAAAACATGATTAGAGAGAAATTCTCATTCCAAAAACAATCTCAATATCTTATACTTTTCTAATCTGTGCTATACCATCTATGCTACCCCATCTTCCTGAAACACCCTCTTTCAGGCATATCTTTCGCTATTTACAGCAACAATTACCTACTGTATACCTACTGTGTTTCTCCAGCTACAAGTAATCACTACCCAAAAACTCATGACATTTTAACTACTTCTGACACTAAGTACTTTCTAACCTATAATTTTGTTATTTATGTATGTGGATATGTTAGATTTTAAACTTTTAAAGTAAAGACCTAATGTTTTCTTTTTCAGATTATAAATCACCTATTAAATGTAAAAACTTTAGCAGATACATAAAAATACTAAGAAAATAGAAGCACCCAAAATTCCACCACATGGAGAGAACCATAATCAACAGTTTAATAGCCATCCATCCAGACTTTTTTCTATCCATCCAGACTGTGTATAAATACACTTGTTAAATAGACTTTTTAAACAAAGAATGTCACTGTCTACATATTTTGTAGTCTGCTTTTTTAACTTAGTATTTTATGGATATACTTCTATGACATAAATATTAATCTCATCATTTAAATGCTGGCATAATAATTTTCATGACATTTTAAAATTCTATGATTCAATGAGATCTCTAATTGACTTCCACAAACAATGACTTACATTTAGTAAATATTTGTGGAATGAAACAAAACACAGTATGAGGTTAACTAAGATGCTAGAATGATGGTTTTGTTCAGCCAAGGACTCATTTGCATCCTCTCGCAATGCCTAGAGACATTTTTGGTTATCATTACTGCAGGGTTATTACTGGTATTTATTGAGCAGTAGCCAAGGATGTGCCTAACTATTCTGCATTGTTAGGAGAGCCCCAGAAAACAAATAATTATCCAGACAAAAATGTCAATAATCTCATTTTTATATCACAAACAACATATTTTCATTGGGTTAAGAGTTTAATAAAAGGCCATTTATAAAGATTTGGACATAATTTAGGGAAAACTACTACAGAGAATGCTATTCCCTGGAAATAGCAATAGCAGCAAGTCATTACCATCCCTTGACCTAAGGGAGAATGTGCAAGTGGTAACCAAAACATCTGTAGAAAAACAGCTGTATGGAGAACCCTTCACAAAAACTGTGGCCCTGAGGACAGGGAAGCAAGCAATCGACATGACCTAGCTGGGAATGAGTTAAGAAAAATAAATATCCCAACCTGATCTCACTGTCTTCCACCCTCTGACTTCCTGCTGATGCTTTTCTTAGCAGACCCACCCACAAGCCAAAAGAATAGGAATCTTGGTGATGCTGCCTACATAAGTCAGCCTCTACTCCACATCCTCTGTAACACTTGATAATGCCAGACTTTCTGATTTTCCAGTCCTTTTTTTATATACCAAATCCGGTAGGTAAGCAGTATCTTATTAGATTTTTAACATGCATCCTTCTGTGTTTAATGGCCACTTGGATATCCCCTTTTGGTCTACTTTTCTATTTATTGTTTGACCTTTTCTTCATTGTTTTATACTTCTTTATGTATTCTGGTTATGAGCACTTTGTCAAGCGCATGTGTTGGAAACTTCTCCCTCTGTTGGTGAAGGGGTAGAGAAAGGGAGACAGAAAGAAAAAAGAGAGAATGGGGGTGGTGGGGGAGAGAAAGAGAGAGAAACATCACACACAGACAAACAGGATCAGATATTAGACTGTCCAGCCAACTTACTGAAAAGATCAGCCCTTCCCCACTGTCTACAATGCCACTTTTATGGTAAATCGAAAATCCAAACACATGCATGTTTACTTCTAGCTCTATTCCATTGGTCTATTTGTGTAATTGTATACCAATGTTATAATGTCTTAATTATGGAGCTTCATAAAGTTTTCATATCTGGTTGCTTTTTGTAAAGTTCTTCAAAACCATCCTGCCTCCTTTCGGCCCTTTGCATTTTCATATAAATTTTGGATGCAACTGAAAATAAGCAAAAAAATGAGTCAAAGGTAACAGAAATGTTAATTCCAATTATCCTCTGAAGCCTTCAAGGTGCATGCCTTATGTCATCCCTAGCTAGACCTGACATTCTCATGTATGTGGGGTTCCTATACCTATGTATATTGCATAAATCTGGTTATTTTCTCTTGTTAATATGTCTCATGCCTATTTGATTATTAGACTAGAAGAAAGAACCTTGAGGGCAGAGGAGAGTTTGTTCCTCTCCCACATAACTGTGCCTGGGTGGGGTTTCCCTGAATGTCTAGACAGTCTTCTAAACATTAGAAACAATTTTCTCACAGAGGATAAGGGAAGGCTACTCTTGGAGAACAAAATGTAAGAGAAATTATTTCAAAAATCATTTCATTTCTATAATTAACTAAAACTTTCTGAAATTGCAATGTGAACAAGTTCTTCCTTATCCTAAATCTAGATTTTTCTTATCATAGATTAATCAGATATATATAATTCTTAGTTCAGAATTTTTAATAAGAGCTGAACAAACTAAAGCTAAAGTGATGTGAAAAAATCATTCTATATTGTATTTGTCTAAGAAAGAAATAGTAAACCTCTAACTTTATTAGTTAAGAAGATCATAAGTAAAACCACAATGAGATACGACTTCACGCTCAATAGGATGGTTACGATAAAAAAGACCAACAATAGCCCTGGCTGGTATGGCTCAGTGGACTGAGTGTTGGCCTGCAAACCAAAGGGTTATGGGTTCAATTCCCAGCCAGGGCACAAGCCTGGGTTGTGGGCCAGGTTACCAGTAGGAGGCACACGAAAGGCAACCACATGTTGTTTCTCTCCCTCTCTTTCTCCCTCCCTTCCTCTCTGTCTAAAAATAAATAAATAAAATATTTTTTAAAAAAAGACAGACAATAAAAAGTGTTGGTGAGAACATGGTGAAATTAGAAGGCTTGTACTTGATGGTGGGAATGTGAAATTGTTCAGCTGTTTTGGAAAATAGTCTGACAGTTCCTCCAAAATTTAAACATAGACTTACCATATCAACCACCATTCCAATCCTAGGTATATACCCAAGAGAAATGAAATATATATCCATATAAAAACTTGTATATAAATGTCCTATCAAGATGATTCATAATAGCTTAAAAAATGGAAACAACCCAAATGGTCATAAACTGACAGATGGATAAACAAAATGTGGTGTATCCATCCATTAGAATATTACCTCACCATAAAAAGAAATGAAGTACTGATACATGCTGCAACATACATAAACTTTGAAAACATTATACTAAGAGAAAGAAGGCAGACAAAAAGATGCCCACATTATGTGACTCTGTTTATGGAAAATGACCAGAAGTAGAAAATCTATATAGACAAAAAATAGACTGGTGATTGCCTAGGGCTGGAGGAATTGGAAAAAAGAAAGTAACAACAAATGGCTATGGAATTTCTTCTGGGGATGATGAAAATGTTCTAAAATTTCGATGATAACTGCATAAATATGTGAATATACTAAAATCCTCTGAATTGTACACTGGGTGAATTTACAAGTGAACTATATATGAGTATACCCTGGGTGAACTGCATAATATGTAAATTATAACTCAACGCTGTTATTTTTTAAGTGAAAACAACCCAAATGTTCACCAGAATAGATTAACAAAAATCCACATGTAATAATCCACATGTAATCCACATGTAATACTCCATATGTATATGTGGTATATACACATTGGAGTATTATGTAGTCATAAAGGAATGAAGTACTGCTATATGCTGCAATATAGATGAACCTTGAAAACATTCTGCTATGTGAAAGAAGCTAGAAACAGAGGGACACACATTGTATAACTCCATTCTATGAATTATGCAGAATAGGCAATCTCATAGAAATAGAAGGCAAATTAGTGGCTGTTGGGGACAGAGCGAATGGGGAATGACTGCTAACTGGTATTTTAATGAACTGAATTGTGTTTCCACCACCACCACCAAATTCATATGTTGAAGCCCTAACTCCCAATGTGACTATATTTAGAGATAGGGCCTTTAAGGAGATAATTAAGGTTAAATAATATCATAAGGGTGCAGCCCTAATTCATTAGGACTGGTGTCTTTATAAAAAGAAGTGACACCACAGACGGCTCTCTCTCCTTGCAGGATCAAAGCAAAGGACATTTGAGGGAACAGTAAGAAGATGGCCATCTGCAAGCCAGGGAAAGAGGCCTCACCAAAAACCAATCCTACCAGCACTTGATCTAGACAGTCTCCAAAACCATAAGAAAATAAAAACCTGTTGTTTAAGCCCCTCAGTATATGGTATTTTGTTATGAAAACCTGAGCAGACTACTAACAGTTATGGAGTTTCTTCCTAAGGTGATGAATATGTTCTAGAATTAGATAGCAGTGATGCTTAACTATGAATGTACTAAAAACCATCGACCTGGTTACTTTAAAAGGGTGAAATTTATGACAAGGAAATTATATAAAAAGTTGTTCTTAAAAAAAGATTATAAACAGGTGTCCAGATATTCAAAAGACCCAATACACTAAATCTAAAGGTTTCTGGATAAGTCTAATTAAATATACAAAGCCTTAGCTTTCAAAGGGAGAAAATTGCGCATGTTATCTACGCACAGAAGTGGTCTGTACTGATGAGTTGCTTCTTTCAAAACGGCTCTATGGATTGAAATTTCTTTTTTCATAAGTCAGAACTGATAACTAACTAACAAATAATATTAACATAATAGAATGAAAAGAACATAGCTTGTTTTTCAGTTACTGGTTGCACAATGATGAGCATGCCAGTTAAACTCTGCAATGCTTTTGAACCCTAGTTTTCTCATTTGTAAAATGAAGAAAATAATATCTACCTAATAGAATCACTCTGAAGACAGCATGAAACAAAATAAGAGAAAGCACTCGGTGAAGCAGAATATAAATGTGAATATACATTTAAATTTTTTAAAGAAGGAAAAAAACATATACTTTAAAATCTTTTTTAAAAAGCCTATCATGTAATATGTACAATCAATTCTTTAAGGAAAAAATTACTTTGTCTTTATATCCCCTAAGCCAAGAACAGTACCTACTACTAGAGAATGCTGTTTCAGTGAACTTTTTTTTTTTTCAGGTTATAAGACTAACTGTATAGCTGTGGCAAAAAGTCATCATCACCATCATCACCACCTGTGAGCCAAAAATGCTCTAAAGCTCAGATTCACAGGAACAATGCTTCTCAAAAGAACACAGGAAACAAAAGGATACAATAAACAAAATAAATACTCACTTGAGTGATAAACATTTTACAAGAAGTCTTTGACCAAAATGTTCTTTGGGCACATCAGGAACACTAAGTCGTTCTATTGGTTCTTCCTACAAATTGACAAGCAACACCAAAATGAACATGCTTATCATATTTCAACCCTTTACATCTCTTTAAGAAGTCATTTTATTAATTTAATACTTTTAGCTTTTGCAATTGAACATACAATAGAATGACCTACTTATCCTCAAACAGAAGTCATTAGATCATAAGTAAGTATGCTAAATTCACAGAAGTTATTCATTAAGGATAAATTTGTTAGAATAAAAAGTATATTTTATTTACAAAAAATATAGCTATGTTTCAGTTAAATTTCATTTCCTATTATTATAATAATATATACAATTCATACTTCAAAAATATCTATTTCATAATTATCTGTGTCTATATTCCCAAATAACTATACCTCATCTGGTGATGGATGCAAAGCAAAGAGCTCTTTGTGACGGTTTGATTTCCTTTGGTCATCATTCTGACGGTCTATTTCTTCATTTGGAGTTCGATCAAGTAAATTGGGAAGCAGAGCATCAGGAAGAGAATTTTTCAAGTCAAAAATACTGCAGGCCCAGCTACCCCTTGGAGTATCGTCTATTGACATGGAACGTCTTTTAAGATCATCCTGTCATACAAAACATTAAAAAATAAGTATATTAATTAATAAATAAAACATAAACTATTTTAAAATAACACTTATAGTCATTTAAAAATAAAAATATTACTTGCTCATCCTGGTAGTTGCTGCCATCTGGAGCTTCATCAGATTCAAAGACCTGTTTTGGCAAACCTTTTTGCCTTTCTTTCTGTTTATCTAATGTATTGGGATTAAATCCTGTTCCTAGTTTATGATACCTATTCAAAATAAAACAAATAAATAAATATTAATTTTTGAACTTTACTTTTTCATCATTAATAACAAGCTAAATATTCTCTGCATTATTTCTTTACATAATAAAGGTATATTATAGCAGTTTTGAGTGTGCTTAACATCTAACCAGAGGTTTAAGAAAACTTCCACTCAAAATTCTTTTAATCCAACTACAGAGCAGATCATGAGTTTCCAGGCGTAATTCACATTCTCCTTCTTTTTATGACAACCACATATATATAATTTAAAGTTAGGTGGAATCTAATGAACAAACTGAATTAACAAACAAAATAGAGAGAGACTCATAGATAGAGACAAGGGGGAAGTAGGGAGGACCAGGGATAGAGGGATTGTGAGAAAAAAGAAAAACAAAAGAAAAAGAATTTATAGACAATGGTGTGGTGGCTGGGGTGGGGGGGGGGGCAGGTGGAAGAGAGTATAAGGGGGACAAATAGTGATAAAAAATAAAATAAATTAAAAATGACAAATTATAAAAATAAAATTGTTCTTTCAGTTCATAGAATAGATCAGTAAAAGGAAAGGATGGAAAGCCATGTCAAAGAATAAAATGTTAGAGTAGAAAATATACATTGTATTCATAACAATATAAAATTTTAAAAGGCAAAAAATAGACATAAAAACACTGAATCTTAAAATTTCAAAGAGCCATAGTATTTTTGCTACATCTCTCAGGTAACTTAACCAACCTAAAGCTGCAGACTTTTAAAATAAAAAGGTCAGGATCTACATCACTGTATACATGTATTACTTAACACGTATTATTACACCCTTAATGTTTCCTTCTTTCCTAGCAACCCAATATCCAAGAACATCAAAGATCCTAAGATCAAAGAGCAATTATTGTTCATACCTCATATAGTCAAACAGGGTAAATTTCTAATTGGAGCAAAAACCATTATGATTAATAAAGGATGATATGGTCTTACTATTAATTTATGAAATAATAAAGAATCAAATAGATGAATCACTGATATCATGTCTTGTTGCTGAAGATATTAAAACAGAAGTTATTTATAGTCATTACTGTTATTAGTACCACCATTCAAACCACTGTTCAAAACATCAGCAAGTTCCAACTGAGCACCTAATCTTTAGAGTGCCATGGAATGTGGCCGTAAGAAGCATTCCCCAAGTTGCACTATGGGTAGAGCTCTATCTATGCTTGTATTACTTGTAACAGTGCCTCCTAGCTCAAATTCAAGTAAAATAAAGTGGATATTCCTTTGGGGGACAAAAATAGAAGCTACATGACATTCACATTACAGCATAATCACAAAATAAAAGGAAGCAATTTTCTCTGGAAGAACTAAGATAAAGGTACTCCATACAGTAACATGAAAGGTATACTCAGAAACAGATGTTTTAACCTTTTGTGAAATGTTTAGAGTACCTTGATTTGTGATGTTGCATATCTAAGTTGCTCTAATAATCAATAATAATGTTACATTCTGCCTCCTTTACCTTCTTTTTTATGAATAATTTCTTATTCATTTCTTTTTAGAGAGAGGACAAGGGAGGTAGAAAGAGAGCAAGAGAAACATCAATGTGAGAAACATCAATTGTTGCCTTTTGCACATGCCCTGACCAGGGGCAGGCCCACAACCCAAGGATGTGCACTCACCAGAAATCAAACCCACAACATTTCGCTTTGTGGGACAATGCCCAACCAACTGAGCCACACAGGTCAGGACTACCTCCTTTATGTTCCAAAAAGCTGACAGTATAAAATTCTACAGAGCTGACATTCATGATTAATACTCTTTTATGTATTACCAATCTGTCCCCTAGTCAATTGCTATGATACGGTTCTACATGACTACCCATCAACCCCCCACACACTAACATTTGTGTGACCTCCTATCCTGACATTCTCACCCTCCTTTACTCTGTTCCAGTCACACTGACATCTTTGCTATTCCTGGTACATTCCTAACATGCTTCCAATATGAAGCCTTTACATACACTGTTCTTCCCTCTAATACACTTCCCCCGGATATACAAAGGGCTCACCCCCTTAATTCCTTCAGGTCTTTGCTCAAATTCATCTTTATAAGCAAGACCTCTTCTGATTACTCATATGAAGTAGAAAATTGAGCCCTTCCTCTCGGCTCTCCCTACACCCCACATCCTACTTTTTTTCTCCACAAGAGTTACATCCACCATATCTGGCACATATTTATCTGTGTTTGTTTGTTGTCCAATGCCCTCATCCCCAACTAATGTAAGGTCCATGAGGGCAGGGAGTTAGTTTTGTTGATTGCTGTATCATCACTGCTTAGTATAGTGCCCGGCACATACAAGACTCTCAATAAGTATTTATTGAATGAATAAATAAATGAAGTATTTTCTCTTCCTTTCTCCTTTGTGCTGAATTATGGAAAACTTGTGCCTTCATCTAGTCCACTCTCCAGTCACCTCTGGTATTTAGCTCATCTGCTGAGTTTTAATATTTTTTCACTGAACAAAATTTTAATTTCCAAAGAGAAATAGTTGATATTTGTCTGGTTACCATACCCATTCACATCTCTTTGAAGATATTAATTATACTTATGTGCCATGATATGTAGTATACTAATTATTTCATGATAGTTTTTATTTGTAGTTTGATAATTCTTTTCCAAATGCAATAGCTTTCATCAAGTAGTTGGCAATTCTGGGTTCTATGCTTATTTTCAAATTTGTATCCCCATATCTGTCTGGAAATACTGTATCTGCTCCACCCAGGCCACAGCCAGTAGTCCTCTCTACATAGTCTTCTCTACTCTATCTTCTCCATAGAGCCAAATCATGCTGACAGGCAGTCTGCCAAGACGAGTCTTCTGGGTGTAATGGCTGTCTTCTTCCAAGGTTTGCCCTCCCTGGGCACCATACTGTCAACTCAAGCCTCTACAATCACCACTCTTTAAAAAGGCAGATACCTTTGTTGGCACAACTGTGCACACATGGTATAGGGGGATTCAAGTAAAATAATGCCCAATAGTTACCCCAGACTCCTCTTCCATTGCCTGTATTCACTCCTTCTGAGCTTAAATTACTATACACAGAATGGGGCAAAAGTAGTTTACAGTTGTGAGTATACAAAAGAGTTTATTCTTATATTGTTTATTATTTTCCATGCAATGAACTGTAAATCCACTTTTGCTCAATCCTGTAGTATATGATTTATATATATATATATATACACACACACATATATATATAACTTTAAAAGATATATATATCTTTTTTGCATATATCTTCTTAAATTATTCTGTACTATGGTTTTCTCTTATGTTCCACTTACACCTCTCTTCTGACTTTCAAGGATACTTTAAAACTTCTATCAAAGGTATCCTTTTTTGTTTTCCATTTACTACTGTAAATAATATCTAGTGTAACAAAAATTATACATAAACTTTAGAATATGATGCCCTGTTTTAATCTCATTATCTCACTATTTGGCTGTGAGACCTCAAAAAATTTATTTAATTACTCTGAGCGGCTTTTCTGTTGGAACCTTAGATGAATATAATGTGCCCAATAAAATGACCAGCACATAGTAAGTACCCATAAATGTTAACTGTCTTCCTCCCTTGCCTAAATCAAGGTCAACAACCCCATAATTAGAATTAAGTAGTAGAGCCCTGACCAGCATGGTTTAGTTGGTTGGGCATCATTCCACTGGTTTGATTCCTAGTCAGGGGACATGCCTGGGTCATGGATTCCGTTCCACGTCAGGCACATACAAGATCCATGTTTCTCTCCCTCTCTTTCTCCTTCCTTTCTTCTCTCTCAGGGAGGGAGAAGGGGAGGAGAGAGGAGGGGAGTAAGGAGAGACATGAGGGGGGAGAGGGGAGGAGGGAGAGGGAGATAGAGAAGAAAGGGGAGAGGGGAGGGAAAGAAGGAGGAGGAGGGAAGAGGGGAAGAGAGAATGGAGGGGAGGGTAGAGAGGAGGGAAAGGAGAAGGAAGGGGACAGGAGGGGGAAGAGAGGAAGGAGAGGGGAGGGGAGGAGAGGAGAGGCTTTATAAAAAAATTAAATAGTAGATTCCATATTCTAAGTTAATATATTTTATAACTAATCTCTTTTTATTAAGATATCTGATTATAAGTTTCCAACATACATACATAGATGTAAAGACTTTTGTGTTATCTGACAGAGGAACAGTTTTTAGCACTAACGTCTAAACTCTTGCTATTGAAATATTTATCAAAATTGTAAGTTCATAAAACAGCTCTTCTTTATAAAGAGTAGCAGTCTGTGCTTTTATTAGGTAACACTAAAACTAAAAAGCATGTCAGCAGTATTCCTGAGAGTGATGCTTAGCACAATATTAAACCCAGTGAAATAAGACAGCAGCTATATAAGGGCAAAACAATATGCAATGGTTACATCACCACTGCTAGTACAAATGAGCACAGATTACTTCACTTCTGAAAACTATAGTGTCATAATATCCACTACTTCAGTCATCATATTTCCTTTAAAAAATAAGGTTTAAAAGTTTCATATGAAGACTCTTCTCTTCATTATGCAAATTAGCAAAGAAAACATAATTTTATTTGAAGTTGAATATTTTATTATTAACTTTCTTGTTTTCCTGCAAAGCTGTTACTTCACTGTATAAAAATAGCACCAGCAGACACGGTATATTACAAAATTAAGACAGTAGTCATCATCTGACACTATAATGACTATAAAAATTTTCTCCACTGCCAGTTATTTCCAATGGCAATATCATTAAGTATTCTGACCCAAATCCAGAGACAGATGTAAGCAATTTACAATATTTTATATAAGACTCATGATAGTAATGTTATCCTTGAATTACATCATTTTGATAACTGGATTTTACCATAGATATTTTCAGGAATTCTGAATATTAATGGTAAGCCTAGCCTAAAAATTATAGGGTGTTGTGAAAAGATGCATATTGTGTTCATCTGCAATCATTATAAAGTTAGGGGGCATTTTCTTCTAGTAGCATTGTGGTTTCTTTTTCCATTGGCATTACTAAAAGTTGCTATTTTAAATCTATCTACATTAACTTAAGACAACATGCTAGATCAAGTTGTGTCATGCTACTTTATTTGGGGGTTCCATTTTCACTGAACAGATTTTACATATTTCCCATATGCTTCTTCATTCATTTGTTCATCTAGTTCTGAAGGGTTATGCAGGGTCATCTTGATTGCAAACCACCTTCACAACAAGATTTATTGAAAAGTGCTGGATGTTCTGCAAGAGTTTCACTAATTTCAGTTACCTCTCCTGTTAGAGAAGAGAGTTCACTAAGAGCTTTCACCCTTTCCAATACACCAAACTCATCTTGCTTGTTTGATTTTGCCCCAATGTCAGGCAGACTACAGTAAACAACGTCTCCCAAAGCTTCCCGTGCAAAACTGCTGATCCCCATTCTTCCAGTACCATTTTCTGTTGTTATCTATTCATTTTTCTCCATGAACTTATGCAGGAAGAGTAGATTGGGGTCAGTGGGCAGTGACCTGAGGGCGCCAGCCCTCAAACCCCAGGGCCACAGTGGTCAGGGCTCAATGGCACTGAGGGGGCCCCTCAAGCTCTGCGCCGCTGGCAATATATTCATAGGAGTCCATTTTACTTCTTCACCTGATGTTGTATTCAACACCATCCATTAGAAAAATAAAATTTGTGGTAGAATAAAACATTATTTTTTATAAATATTTACTTGATTAAATGTACAGATCAAAGACCTGTAAAAATTTAGTTAATGAAGGGTAGAGATGTTTCAAACAGCTTGATCTGGAAAACTAGCTATTAAATTTAACTATTTAAATTTCAATAAACTGGATTCTTTCTTTTTAATAATGAATGTATTCATCAATATCTGTCAATAATTTCTCAAAAGAATTAGACTACAAGCATTATCATATACGATTAGTTATTAAATAAACGTACAGGTCTCATAATAATTATTAATTTACCTTAATCCAGTTATAGATCCTACTCAGTATCCTACTCAGTATTTTTAAGTGTTTTAATAAACGTACAACTTACTTTCTGATCACAATTGCCCAGTCTTCTGTATAACTTCTTATACAATCTCTAACATGTGGATCCATTTCACTATTTTAAAAAAGAAAACACATTTCTGATTTAGACAGGAAAGCACTGGTGTTGGTGAATTTGGTTGCTACAGCTCTTGATTGTATAACAGACATAATCCCACCATAACAAAATAGGATATAAATCAAATAACAGAAGGTAGCTTTTCTGTAGTTGCACTGAAACCAAAAATAGGTAAATGTGTCCTTACCTTTCTTCAGGTACAGCTGAAACAAGGGTTCTGCAGTCCCTAGGACTATAAACAACTTCGATATCATCTGGAGGGAATTCAATCAAATCCCTTAAAGGCCCAGAATCCACAGCTAAAGGATGAGTAATGAGGTAATCTTCTAAATCCACTGGATCTACTGCTTCTGTAAGGGGCACCTTTAGAAAGGAGAAAGGGATGAGGAATTTTAAAACTTTAAGCAAAAAATTTTTTTAAATATGTTTTAACATAATTATTTCTCAATTTTCAACAGATACAATTTAAAAACCTACAAGGTATTGACCTTCTAACACTCCTTCATGTTTTGGGTTATACTCTCTTTACTCCTCTTGCTTAGACTTTATCCATACCTTTCATGGAAAGCCAGTAATGATCATTGACAGTTTTATAATACTTTACAGTGACAAAATGTTTACTGGAGGAATTCTTTTTTCTTTAAAATCTTTGGAATTTTGCTAAGTTTCTTAACAGTGGCTTAATTTTATTTGTTGCTACTATTGATTATCGTAGTAAAAATATATAACCAGACTAAGGTAGGGTGAAAAGTAGACCTCCAAAAGATCACCAGATAGATACCAATCCATGGACCTTTCATGCCAAAAAATTAAGATAAAAGATAAAAGATGTGATCTATCTGAGTGAGTCAAATGCAATCATATATATATATAAAGACAGAGGGAGAGTGGGACCACACAGTGGAGAAAACCATATGAAGACACAGCAAAGAGAGATCTGAAGATTCTGGCCTTAAGTGACGCAGTTACAAGCAACCACCACAATGTAGAAGAAGCAAGAAACTAATTCTCTTCCAGATCCTCCAAAGGCAGTGTAGCCTTGCCAAAACCTTGGTTTCAGCCCACTGATGCTAGTTTCAGACTTCTAGACTTAAGCACTGTGAGAAAATTGCTTTTGTTTTAAGCCACCCAGTTTATGATACTTTATCAAAGCAGCTAAAAGAAACTAGTACAAAGACTCTATTTAAAGTATCTATTAGTAATAACAGAATTTCCAGGGCATTTCTTAGCCAAGTTGAAAATATACTTTTTATTAAGACACCCAAATTTTCTTCTGATTCAAGAAAGAAAAACATTCAGGCAAAACTGAAGGATTATGTAACAAATGTGCAGATGTAGATTAATGAAAATAAAAACATGTTATTTCTCAAGATGCTTAACTGGATAAAAACACTGAGACCTGCCTCTCTGAGCAGGTGTGTGTGACTAAAAGGTGAGTGCTTTAATCTATGCTTCTTTGAACTGAACAACTAGTAACAGGTACAGCAACAACACTGTAAATATAGTAAGTTAAATAATAAAAGACCAGCACATCACAGACACTCAAAAGACAATAGCTATTATCATTATCATTATGTTTTCCCATTTAAATCTCTCCAAAACCTATAAGGTAGAGATAGTTACTATTTTAGTTCTACAAATAAAAGCATCTGTACTCAAAAAGTTAAACAACTTCTGGAAATAAAACAGCCACAAAATCACGTAACAAAATTTTTTTCTTAGAGGTAATAAGTTTATTTAAATATTTACATATTTATGGTTTTTAATATGTACAACAGAGCAAACTTTTATTTATTTTATTTTATTTTATTTTAATTGTTGTTCAAGTATAGTTTTCTGTCTTTTACACCATCCCAGCCCACCCACCCCCCAACCCTCCCCAGAGAAAATTTTTAAATTGGATCTTCAAGCTCTAAAATTCATGGGTTTTCTGCTCATAAGCATAAAATTTTAATCAATAAATAAAATTTAAATAAGTCAATAAATAAATAGGGGAGGAACCGAGAAAGTGAGGTAGGGAAACATCAATGTGCAAGATACATGGATCAGTTGCCTCTGACTTGCTGCCAACTGAGGACCTGGTCCGCAATGCAGACCTGTGTCCTGACCTGAATCTAACCACTGACCTTCTGGTTCACAGGCCCAAGTTTCATTCCACCCACTAAGCCACACCATCCAGGGCTAAAAAAATTAATAAAATATTTTTTTAAATGTCAAGAGGGAGTACTTCCGCTTGTGGGAAAATGGACTAGACATACTCTTCCCCCTATTCTTCCCACTAATTAAAACTACAAACATGAGACATTATATATGAAATAAACATAAGATTCTGAAAGGCAGAAAGAAAATGGCAGGCCAGCAGCAACCTTGAGGCCAAGGAATGGCACAATTTCTTTTTGCCTTATGTACTCCAGACTTGGAGCTAGAGAAGTCCGCCACCAAGAAACACAAGGAGCACAGGGGAAAAAAAGGTCCAACAAAACAAAAGCCTGTTCTCCCCAGCCAAAGAGTCCAAGAAGGAGGCAGCCTACTGCAATAGAAATTTTTACATAATAACCATTCTACTCCAGCTAACGATCATGTGAAAAACTGTGGTCTCAGTCATATCCACACCAGCAAAGCCCAAATGAGAAGCTAGACTTCACCCTCACCAAGCTATAACAAAGCATCCCAACACTCCAACCAGCATGGTGTCACAAAAGTTACAGTGGGGAGCTGAGATCTGCATATGTACTGGGAAGTCATGAGTCCACTACCCAGGGTCACTGGAGACCACACAGGGAATCTGGACATCCACTCCCACTCAGCCATAACAAGGCACCTCTTCCCCTTACTGCTGGGGCAGTGTCAGAGGAGGTCTATATATAATACAATGCCTAGAGGGTAAAGGGACAAAAAGGTACATAAAACTTTTACACTTCACTCAAATGGGTAAAATGTCACTATCAGTAATGTGATAATTTATACACAATTTAATAATACCTTAAGCAAACACTAAAAAGGCTATGCAGAGACATGCACTGAACAACACTATAAATCAATTAAAATGTAACTCTAAAAAATGTTCATACCAAAAAAAGAAAACAGGGAAATAAAAACAGAGAACAAACAAAAATGAAAATCAAGATTAAAGCCCGAGCAAAACAGAAATAACATTATATTTAAATGGTCTACAAAAAAAAGATAAGAGACTAGCAGAATGGATTTAAAAACATGATCAACATGTATGATATACAAAAACTCACTTCAAATGAGACAATATGAAGAGGTTGAAAATAAAAAGATGGAAAAAGATGTATCGTGCATGCATAATCAAAAGAAAGTAGCAGAAGTGGCTACATTATTATCGAATAAAGAAGGCTTCTGGAAAAAAAAAAAGCATAACCTGAAGAGGAACATTACCTGATGACAGCAGGTATGATCCACCAAGAAAACACAGCAATCTTAAATGTGCATTTACTAAACAACAGAGCTATCAAGTATGTGAAGAACATATTAACTGACAGAAAAGGAGAAATATAAGAAAAATCTACAATTATACTTGATGTCAAGACATCTCTCTCAACAACTGAAAGACAGAAAATCAACAAGGATATGGTAAAGCTCGAAAGCACCTTTAACTAGCAGGATCTTATTGACATTTATAAAACAACAAAATAAACACTTTCAAAATAAAACCACAAATGCATATGCCAAGCTGGACCATATCCTGACACATAAAACAAGCCTTAACAAATTAAAAAGTAAAATAAAACTATACAGTACATTCTCTAATCATAATGTAATCAAACTAGAAATTAGCAACAGAAAGATAACAGGAAAATCTCCAAACACTTGAATGCAAAACAACACACTTCCAAATAATCTGAGTCATAGAAGTCTAAACAGTAAAAATTTTAAAATACATTAAACTAAATAAAAATACAACATAAAACTTTTGGGATGAGGGAAATCCAAAATCAAAAACATGAGATACTACTTCACACCCGTTATGATGGCTATTGTTTTTTAAAATGGAAAACAAAAGTATAGGAGAAAATATGGAGAAATTGGAGCTTTGTGCATTGCTGGTAGAAATATAAAATAGTACAGCTGTTATAGCAAATAGTTTGGTGTTCTAAAAAAAAGAAACAAAAACAAAAAAACATGGTATTATCATTTGATCCACCAATTCAACTTCTAGGTATATACCCCCCAAAATTGAAATGAATACTCACATAGATTTTGCACATTCGTGTTCATAGCAATGTCAATACTCATAGCCAAAAGGTAGAAACGATCTATCCACAAATGAATGGATAAACAAAATGGGGCATATACGTACAGTGACATATTATTCAGCCTTACAAAGTAATGAAATTCTAACACGTTACAACATGGATGAACCTTGAAGACTTTATACTGAGTGAAATAAACCAGATACAAAAAGACAAACATTGTATGATTCCACTTATATAAGGTATGTAAAACAGACGAATTCATAGAGATAGAAATCAGAGGTTACCAGGGATTGAGAGGAGAGGGGAATAGGTAACTACTGTTTAATGGGTATAGGGTTTCAGTTTAGAATAATAAAAAATTTCTGGCAATGGATAATGGTGATAGTGGTGATAGCTGCACAACATTGTGAATATACTTAATGCTACTGAATTATACATTTAAAAATGGATAAAATGGTAAATTTGTGTTATATATATTTTACCATCAGATAGATGGGTAGATAGATAAAATACATTTAAATGATTATTTTTCAAAAACTTAAGTCAATGCTTTTCCTTCCAGGTATTATTTTGAGGGCAATATACCATTTAGGATTTAACATATCACAAATGAATACTCAATGAAAATAATGCAAAAAAGTTGGGAGTCCTTACAGATCTCTAATTCAAAATTAATCTTTCCTCCAAGAATGACCAACCGTATCAAGAGAGAGTGTTAGGGTAAGGCAGGAAGCTATGACAGGCTCTTAAAAACACTAAATCACATAAAGGATAAATGATCTTGTTTCCATAACTCATGTAGAAGGTCACAGGCTTTCTAGGTACAATGTTAGCTAAACCTGGATCAAGGAAACAAAGTCTCCATTCTCTCTGATGCCCATGGAGAGACAGCTCCCTGGGTTAGTCTTGGGATGTAGTGATGAGCTACTTACAACTATAAATTATTTTGCAAGAATCCAAAGAACGAGCCAGTATTTACTGACAAAAGGGAGGAGACTGCAACATGATTCTGTGAGAGAGAGGGAGTGATGGGGCAGTAAGCAGAGCTACAGTGTGGCAAAGAGAAGCAGATGAGAAGCACTCCAGAATCTCTCATAGGCAATGTGTGAACTTGTCTCACTTTAGCGATCACTGCGTGGGAATTTTGGCTGACGTGATTACCGTTAAGATTTCTTTCAATCCTTTCCAATATGCCATCAACCTTCTGTCATTTAATTAGTGGTTTGGGGCTGGGGGAAAGAGGGTAAAAGGATGATAGCTAAAGGGTTTCTTTCTGAGGTGATAAAAATGTTCTAAATTGACTGTGACAATGGTTGTACATATCTACAAATATATTAAATCCACTGAATCATAAATTAAATGGGTAAATTGTATGGTATGTAAATTAAATCTCAATAAAGCTGTTAAAAAAAAAACTGAACAGAATCTAATCAGCCCAGGAAATACAGAAGTAGAAAAACAAGACTAGAAGGAAGAAACTGCAAAGTATATAATCAATCACATAAAGTACAAGAGATAAGAAAAATACATCTACAGGGAAGCAAACATAAAATCCAAAAGGCAAGAAATTCTGTAAGAAAACTAGTCCAATATCCTCAACAAGTTAATGCCATAAAACAAGGTTAAAATTCCAGCATTGATTAAATCCTGAATGTAGTTTCAGAACTGACTAGGAAATCAACACTTCTATAACACCTCTTAACACTCTTCTCCAATTCAAAGTTCAGGAAAAAGTGAGCTAACAATAAATAAGGTTATGAAACTAGTGGTGCAACCCAATCCACTGGCTCTTCTCTTTCCACTACTTGTCATGGCCTAGTCAGTAATCCACCAGTAACATACCGTGTTTTAAGCAAGCTACTTACTGTGGTATGGTGGGATATATTGCCAACAATGTTGAGGTTTTTGAGCAGTTGGGGAGACCCACTGTATTGTCCAGAGATCTGCTTCCTAACTTCAGCAGCCACAGTTCTATAACAAAAAAAGCAAATACTTACTATTTTTAAAAATAAAACAACCTAGGTTTAAAGTGGGAGGAAGGTAAATATATTAAAGATTCATTTGAAGAACAACAAAACCTCAGCAAGAAGACTATAAATTCTTAACATATCAGTTGAACATCTTTATAATGCTGATGTAGGGTAAAAGACTGACAGCCAACTTACATAAGGGCTTTTTTTTGTATATGGCATTTCAGGGAATATACTTTGGCTTATAGTAGAGCTGGAAGCTATGAGAAGATGTATGTATTTTAAGGATATAAAATTAATTTGAAAATACTTTACTAACAAATTAATACATGATAAGAATTAGGAAGAAAAAAAACCTGTTTTTCCTTTCTAATATTACTAGCTCTTTATTCATGCACCTAAAAACTATCCCTGTTATTATCTAATAAAAAATGTCCTTACATTCTGGCATTAATGTCTTTCCATAATCTGACCTTAACCACCTTCCTCACATATCCTTCCCCAAAATCTTGTCATTGAACATAAATTGCTTCCTAGAATGTTGTTTCCCTCCTATACCGACAAATTTAATTCTTAATTAGTTTTAAGTGTAAAACTCAATGCCAAGACCTCCATACAAACTTCTTGACTCACTGCAACTTAAAATAATACCAGCCACCTTTAAAACCCTTAGAGCATTTATCATAACCTAACTTTCATTTTCCTTGTAGTTATTTTTCCATATTTCACGTACAGTCTATATAAACAGAGGCAATGATCTCATTTATTTTGTTTTCCCTAAAATATTTAGCAGATAGCACTCAAAACAGGTGAATGTTTAGCCCTGTGAAATATATAGTATTACTGAACTTACTGACAAATGAAGGAAACCACCAAGGCATTAGCATAGCATAAACTTGACAGGCCTTTATTTGAATCGGAATTAGAGTTTAGAAGATCTACATTTTCAAGCTGGCATTGACCCTTGGGGGCATATTGGTATAATAAATTTATTTAAATAGTATTTCTAAAACAAAAGTGTTTTAGATATTTAAACGACTTGATAGCTCATTAATCTCTATATTCCTTACAGTCCATAAAACTATAAACCAAAACATTTAGTGAGTCCTAAATCCAGTAAATAAAAAACTTGCTCACATTAGTAATATTTCTAATCAGTAAAAACTATAACTCAAAAATACAAAATAAAGACTACTCTTCACAGATTTTGTGCAATTATTTTCTTGATGTCAATACCTAAGTTCTACCCTATGATCATCAATGAAATAGCCACTTAATTTCATAAAACTTGGCTTCTGCCCTGGCTGGTGCAGCTCAGTGGATTGAGCTCCAGCCTGTGAACCAAAGGGTCCCTGGATCAATTCCCAGTCAGGGCAGATGCCTGGGTTGCTGGCCAGGTCTCCAGTAGGGGGCACATGAGAGGTAACCACACACTGATGTTTCTCTCCTTCTTTCTCCCTCCTTTCTCCTCTCTCTAAAAATAAATAAATATTTTTTGTAAAAAAACTTGGCTTCTGTTCTTTCACTCTTTTTCAAAAAATAAACTCTACTTTCTTCCTACCATTTCCATCACACATAAAGTGAAACAGGCTTCGTGGCCTGGTTTCTGGACGAGGTTGATCATACTTTTGTTCTGAAGTATTTTGAAGCTGATGTTTGAATTCAGAGATGTTCGAGGCCTGAACATCTTGGCCTCGATCTGAATTTCCAGCTGAATTTCTAAACAATCTCATTTTCTAAAAATTATCCAGATTTTTGATATAATCTTTTCTCCATTTCTCTTCTTCCATATCTCCTTGCTATGTCCATCTTCCTCAGTGTTACTCAATACTCAGCTCAATCTACCAACCTCAGCACTACTTTGGTGCTTCTGGAGCTGAGCCATGGATAATCTAAATTGTAAACTGCCATATTTCATCAAATTCATGAATGTCACTAATTGTTAAGAGGTACCATTACTTCATGTACAGCCAAGAAAGAAAAACCTTGTCAATTAACCATTACACTGCCAATTAATTGGAAGACATACCCTGATTTCAGGATTTCAGAAGATGCTAAGAAATGAAACTTAAACAAAATGACTATTTTAAAAAGACACAGTCTTTTGTTTAATAGCAGACATATATATAAAATAATCCTCATGTTACAAATATTTGTCTTATTTCTATATAACATAATTTTCCCAAATAAGAAAATCAGTAATAATTGAAAATAAGAACCATTTCCAAACTGAGCTATAATGTCAATAATATCTGGAACCTACCTAAGGGATATATTTACAATGAGATCCTCAGCATAAAAAGATTTCATTAAATGGTAGTGAGGAAATTTTTCCCAAATAAAACATAGAATCTCTTAACCATCCTGTGGCCCAGAATATGCAAGATAAGAAATGTGATGAATAAATGTAGTTTCTCATAACAATTTAAATCCTTTATCTTACTTTTTCCGATAACAAGTTTTGCTATACCTAGTGATAGCTCATATAGTAAAGCAATAGGAAGTCTTTTTTACTTCTAATAAGCTATTAATATCAACTCAAAGTGAAAACTAGGTTAAAAATCTCATAATTACTTATGCTCCCAAATTATAGGAGAATATCTTCTTCCCCTATCATGGCCTCTATAAAGTGCTGCCTGATTATTTCTGTTTTGTTTCACTAGGTTAGACACTCCTCTGTGCTTTCAAAGCACTCAGTGTTTATCCATATACATTCAAAGAAATGGCGTATCCAGGAGGTTAGTTCAGACAGGAAGCCGGGTAGCCAGACTGCTTTCCACCGTGGTGTAAGATGATTCTGGCCTTGCTGACATAGAGGTTGACCTCAACAGTAGGAAAACCCGGTTTGTAAACACTCTCTCAAAAAGAAGCACACAAATTGCAACGTCAGTTTTTCTGGAATAGTGGAGATGCAACTCTCAATTATAAAACTGGGTGGAAAAGAAAAAGGCACAGTGGAGTTTCAGGAATTTGGCTTCTCAGGCCTTGCACACTCTCACTCTTCAAGGCAACCTCCTTGAGGAATTTAAGGACAAGGGAACTTCACTTCTGACTGGAGTATGCTATACTGTCTCTTATTTAGTATAAATGTCTCAAAGCAAATGTCTCCTATCCCTCTCAAAGCAGGTTAATGCCTGTCATTTAAGAAAGGTGGGGTGAAAGTCAGTTTACCGTTGTTTGTATGGAAAATAACACAATAATTAATAAGTAATACAAGAATAAACTGTGTTTCATGTACTCACAACTGCAAACCTACTTTTGCCCCACCCTATATATTCTTTAACTTGGTCTGGTGTCTCATTGTGATAAATGAATAATAAATCATGGCATCTATCAAATTGTTTTTGAAATCTATCTCTTGCAAGGAACTAAGCAATTAAAAGCAGTTTGTCACCTTATTTACCCTTGCACTCTTTATCAGAGTGCCTAATCCATCTGAGTGCTTTAAAAAAGGTTTAAAAAGCTGAAGTGATAAATGGGAACAAAGAGAAACTCATAGTTACTCCCCCAAAAAATAGTTCAATAAGAATGCTACAATGGAACAAGTGATGTGAGCTTTCTGGAGGGAAGGAGAAATAAAGAAAGACAGGCATAAGAGAAAAAAGGTAATAGTAAAAATGAATTTAGAGACTATGTTGTATATGAAATATCCAAATGCTTTTTACACTAAACTTATCTATAAATATAATCGGTTTCTAATTGACTGGAAAAGGACAAGAATGTATGCTTTTTTATTACTGTCAAATAGGTAAACATTTGCTAGGAGAGGGATAGGAATCTGAATCCACAGATTTCTCAATGTATAACCTTTCTTTATTTTTTTTTTGTTTGTAAACCTATCTTTATATAACCTTTTCTCTAATAGCATGGCCAACATCATTATTATCCCATGTGTTACCTGGTAAGATAAAAAGTCACTCCTGAAACTCTTCTTTATTAACAATTTTTAAACAAGATATATAAAATGTTTACATATCTCAAAATAGTCTCTAATATCTCTAACATGTCTGCAAAGTGCTGGTTCCAGAACTATTCAAGCTCTATGATTATGTAAATAAAGTTACTATGTGAAGCAGAATAAGTAGGTTTTTCAATATGAAAAAGACAAGGAAAACTTGATAAAGAAGGCATCTTTGAAAAATAAGTAAAAGAAATATGTGCATGACATTAAAAAATTCAAACTTCACTAAGAGGTGAAAACAAAAAGATATATCTCACTACCACTTTCACCACTTCAAATTCCCAGTCTTATTCCCCAAATGTAATCACTTAATATTTTCTTAGGTATCCTTCAAGAAAAAGATGTGTATATCTGTGTGTGTGTGTGTGTGTGTGTGTGTGTGTATAACCCTTATTTTTTAATATCCACATATGACATCATACAATAACATTTTCTTGATACCTTATATCTTACACCTAATACATCTTGGAAATCTTTCCATATTAGCACATAAAAATAATAATACTCTAGCAATATTTACCAAGCACTTACAATCTGCCAGATAATGTGAAAACTTTCACATTTGTTACACCTCATTTACTTAATCTTCAAAACAACCCTATTAAGTAGGCACTACTACATCAGGATATTGAAGTTTCAAGAGGTTAAGGTAAATGAATAACACTAAGATCTGAACTTACTGCCCAGCTCTTAGCAATGCTCACCTTCTTTTTATCGGTAATAGATAATCTGGACCATATTTAGCCAGTCTCTATTGGTAGACACTTAGGCTAGTTCTAGTTTTTGCAAAGATCACCACTGGAATGTAAATTTCATTAGGGCAGATTTTTATCTAAATCAAAAATTATGACTAATTTTTTATTCTCTCTTTTGAGCCTTTTATATTTCCATATTTTCTTCAGCACTATATATTATTTTATACTCAGAAAAAAATAGATATTTTTAGATAAATTTCAAAATTAAAGTAACTTTCCCAAGTTTATTTTGAAAGATAGAGTCAGGGTTTGAATTCAGATCCTTAAAGCTCCTAAGGCTTTTTA